CTAAGAAATAAAATATAAACAACTAAGCTAAACACTTAAATCAGTTGCAATCATTTAAATAAATTTAATTAAATTATTAAAGAATTTTTAAATTTCTTTTTTCTAATACAGTAAAAGATGTTTTAAAAGGCTTCCAAAAGATCTGACAATTCTATTTGATTTATATATTAGACTGAGCTAAGGACGAGCAACATTTCACATTTTAGAGAAAAATCCATTTATGAGAACGTTCATTTAATAGAGCTTTCACTGTATGTATATTTTTTTTACGATTTACTATTCATTTGCTAAAATTTTTTAATATTTCAATGACAGATTGAGAAATTTTATTTACACTTGTGTATAGAGAACTGACTACATTTGCATACTAGAAATTCTTAAACCCTTTCATATATGCAACTATACCAAGTCACGTATTCACGTATTTGTATATCCTTTGCATTATGCCTCCAAAACATTTGCGTTCCGTTCCGTTACAAAATATTAACATTAACGGCCAAGGCAGACATGTTTGCGCACTGACCGCCATTGGCACTTTGCAGACTTATTTCGCTTAGGAACCAACAGTTGTGGCAAGTTTTAGGTAATGCTAATGTTGTGTCAGAGGTTAGATGGCCAACTGTTGGCGGGCGTGAATGATGCACAGCGTATAAGCAACTTCGTTCTGTGCCCATTTGAATGGGCAACGCAATGCATGCGGATGCATGTGAGTGCATCTGAATGCATGATAATAACGTGCAACATTTTCGGTTGCAAGCTGTAATTAATTAGACTCGAAGGCATTTTACAAAACCGTGTACACCTCAACGCACTAATTGAACACAAAATGCAATCCCCATGCAACACGTTATCCTGCAGTATTTTAGACTTGGTTGCTCTACACAGCCTGCGTACAACGCAAGATTTGCCCCAAAAGGCTGCAAGGTATGAAATAGCCGTGAAGGCATACAAAGCAATACATTTGTGAAGACACTCAGTTTCTCTAATGGCAATTTTTTATTGGTATACAGAAATGGACAGCTTTTCAAGGACTTCACTAAGGACCTTCCCGAGTGCTTTTGTGCAAAATCGCAAATATTTATTTGTGTGTTTATGCGTTGAAATATTTGAAGTTTAGTTTAGTGTTGGGTTTGAAACTTAAGCTTCAAATGCTTTTTTGCTTAATTTTCATTTTAAATCAAATATCTGTAAATCAAATATATTCAAGTTTGCCACTTTATCTTAATTTTCTAATTCGACATTTGATTTCCGTAACTCAATGCTAATGGCTAGGCAGTCGAATAAGTACGCTCTATGTAACAAACAACGCAAGGACTTGCCAGGATATATGAAATTACAAGGCAATATGTGTAGTTGCATATGCAAAATTTGAAGTTCATTTGCAGGCCAGTTTCAATTTGATGCTCTTAAGTAATTTCGTAATTTTCTTCAATTAAAGTTTAATAAATTTAATTTGCTTTTCAATTTAAGTTACTAATTCGATGTTTTTAATTTTGCTTTTTGAACTGCAATTAAGTTGTTTTCAACATTTCAATTATGGCTCGTAAGTTGTTTGCTATTTGAAAACTTAATATTCAATTTGTGTTTGTGAATCTGACAAAATGAAGTAAAATATCTTCATTCAATTTGAATGATTACGTTGAAATTAGACTTTTAAGATGGATCCTGTTAAGGCCATTAGGCTTTTAAAAAAACAACGAATATAGGGACAGAAAACTTAAAAATGTCAAAACTTGTAAAATTACTTAAAAATATTTGAAATCTTATCAATTCTTTGGTCATATCATATATATATGATTTCGAGAAAACAACCATCATGAACACAAAAAGCTCATGCGTAAGATATTCTTAGTTGATATATAAGGTAACTGATTATATTCAATCAAACTTTTATTAAATGTTTTCTAACAGTACTGCTCCAAGCCTTTTATTTAACGTTTTAACAAAAGTTATGGCATGACTCATTGTCACAACACTATTATATTTCTCTATGGTCTCTATATATATACATAGTCGAACTCAAACTGAAGTCAATATAAGTATAAGTATAAATATATAAGTATAATTTATATATACGAATATGATAAGAGACAAACAACAGTTGAGACCTTATGCTTTACTAGAAGTTAATGAGAAAGAAGAGGAAATTTATATATACGAATATGATAAGAGACAAACAACAGTTGAGACCTTATGCTTTACTAGAAGTTAATGAGAAAGAAGAGGAAATTTTTTGCATCAAGTCACAGTGTTCAATCTCCCAGCATGATCTTTCAAGACATCCAAATGAGCAATATGTGCCTCCGAGTGGAAGTGCTGATAACTATCAGCACGCGCCTTCCCAACCTAACATAACCGAATGTATTCATGGTACGAAAGGTTTATACATTACCTACCTCCTATCAATCAATTGTCGTATTTCAAAAAATCGAAAACCTATTCTATTGAAAGGAAACCCTATCTCGATGATCAAGAACTCATGCCATCTGATTAGTTTGTCTTCAGCGAAAATTAGGAGACTCTCAAACGGATTCATAGAATAAACAAATGAAATTAGACTTGCATTTGAAATCAAAGAATATGACTCTGTTGTTTTTTATGATGTGAAACAAAGCTTTGACAAAGTCCCATACATAAAAGTCTTATACATAAAATATGCAAAATTCAACCACATCAAGTTTATTAAGTTTAGATGTCTTACCTCAAACTATGTTGAAATCTGTCATTTCAATAAATTCACCATAAATGCTGAAGTTCTCAAGATAGCGTTACCGATCCCGGTCGATACCTTCTCCTTTAACACAAGAATTTTGTCTGTATTCAATGTAATTTATATTCTAATATAAATGTTCTATTTAGCATACATTCTAACATAGAAATATAAAGGACTCAATCCAAAACATAAAGATTTATCACTGGTATCCCATTGTGAAAACAAGGAAAGAATATATACACAGTGATCTGCATATAACACCTATAAAAACGGAATTTGATAAGCTAAGGCAAGAAATATATAAAAGAGGTTCAAGAACGCGTTACTCCTTCAGCCAGAAGTTTTGCATTTAGTACCGTAGTTTCTTGCATAAAAATAGGTGATCGGTTAGAATAAGTTAGAAGATAAATTAAAACTTGAATTTTAAATTTTTATTACTGTCTCTAAGAGATCAAACTTAAAGTATTTCCGTGCACATTACAGTTATGTGATCCTCATTAAAAAACTTACTTACGTTATTTATTTTTAAAAATTTAATATGTTTCGAGTAAAAAAAATATTGCTTATATTCTGTATCCCCGAGGCACCTCAATGCGAGTATTAGATTGCTTTTAAATAGATCGGGATCAAATACAGATGCCTATATATTGTTAAATCCTCCCATTTTTCATTAAAAAGTTCAAGACAGAAAGAACTCAGTGGCGATTTATATGATGTCAGTGATATGCCCATATTGTTCAGGTATTCCTAAAGATTTCCTGAAACACCCCGTCTGACTAACACGTCTGCTTTGCAATTGCCGAAAATTTCCCTATGACCGGAAACCCAGATTAGAGTAATATTGAGCTGATTAAATATGATAGTAATAAAAAAAGTTTTAAATAATAATAATTTTTGTTGTTTCAATTCAGTACTATTCGAAACCTCCCTATTAAATACAATTGTTTCTATTAAGTAAAATAGTCACTACCGTCATAACTGATGTTAAAATCAAACAAAAGTTTT